TTTATTAATTACACTTTATTCACTTTGTATCCCCACATAAGCCCCTCACTCCTCCCCTCACAATCCCACCCTCCCTTACCCTTCTTCATGCATGCCCCTCCCCAAGTCCACTGATAGGGGAGGTCCTCCTCTCCTTCCTTCTGATCTTAGTCTATCAGATCACATCCGGAGTGGCTGCTTTGTCATCTTCTGTGGCCTGGTAAGACTGCTCTCCCCTCAGGGGAAGGTGATCAACGAGAAGGCCTATCAGATTGTGTCGGAGGCAGTTCCTCTTCCCATTACTATGTAACCCACTTGGACACTGAACTGCCATGGGCTACATCTGTGCAGGGGCTCTAGGTTATCTCCATGCCTAGTACTTGGTTGGAGTATTGGTCTCTGGGAAGACCCCTGTGGAGCACTATTCTTACAGAGGCTCGAAGCCTCTGTGACTTTACTGCATAACCTTGGGACATAAAATGTAGCAATCACACAATATCCACCATTTCACTTTAGGATAATTTTGATGATTGATTTTTGAACTAGCTGGGAAAAAAAATGATCAGAAAACTCCTGATTTTCTCTAACAATCCTAACAGTCAAATCTTTAGTATTTAGAAAAGTGTAGAAATATCTCTGGCAGTAAGAATATGAAATAAGCACTGGGCACTGGTGGCACGTGTCTTTAATCCCAGCACTTGGAAGGCCTGGTCCATAGAGTTCCAGGACAGCCAGAGCTATACAGAGAAGCCCTGTCTCGAAAAAAACAAAACAAAACAACAAAACCAATCCAAACAAACAAACAAAAAAGGATATGGACTAAGGAAATTGTTCTTCTTGGCTCAGCTGTTTCAAAGGAGTTTCTTTTTTCCAAAAAGAAAAAAAAAAAAAAAAAGAACACTTTATTTTTTTCACTTCATATATACCTTAAATGATAAATGATTTAAGTATGGACCAGTATAATTTATTCATCTCTGGGGAGATTATTTTATATAAACCACATGCACTGATCTCATCTTTATTCAGGATAATAGAAACATTGGCATTCTACTGTAAAACTTGGATACATTCATCATGAATAAAGTCTGAGTTGGATAAAAGTCATCAAGCTAATGGTTTATGTCCAAGTTGAGTCAAATGCTTATAGAACCAGTTTTTGTTGTTTTTCATCTATTTGGAGACCTCTACCTTTCCTTTTTTTTTTTTTTTTTTCTTTTTGCTGGCAGTCACATGTTTAGCTCATCGGTAGAGCCCATGTTTAAATGTTTAGCGTGCATGTGGCCTGGGTTCAATACACCATACCTCAAACCCTTCCCCATTCGTGTTCTATATGAGGAGGAAGGACAGAAAGCATGCTGGTTTTGTTGGAGGCGTTGAGCTCACTTAGCTTTAAGTGTTAATACAAGTATACAACTTTTGTATTTAAGTGTGAGCTGAGTGTCAGCAAGAATCCGTGGTTAGTTACTGTGCCTCCCAGTATGTCACTCTGCAGGGGAAAGCAGCGCAGTTCATTAGAGGCTGCTCCCCTAATTAGAACACAGAGGGCCATTATCATCACCATTTCCTGCAATTACAGCATCATGAAAAGAACTAAGGGCGAATCCTAATTATTGCCACATCTATTAATTGCACTGGCTTGAGCGATCTACAGGCCCTAGGCTTCCTTTCTGCTGAACTATTTAGTTTGCATTTAACAAAGGGCCTGGGGTTCTTTGTGATTTCCCATAGACACTGTGCTGGTGGTATGACGTCTGTTGACAAGATGTGTTTGCGTCTGGCACAAAGCACATAGGTTGGGTCAGTGTCTAATATCCACATGAGCTTTGCTGGGATAGAACATTCACTTACGGTGCTTTCGAAATTCAAGAACACGGTATTTGTTAAATGCTAACACTTTACGCACAGGTGATGAGGATTCATGAGAGCAGCTTTCAGTCACATTCAGGAAAGGAACCTCACTCTTATTAAATCCCTGTTAGTGGGGCTACCTCACAGCACTAGTGTGGGACCATTTCCTGGAGACGCGTGATTCCTACCCAAGTCAAGCTGTCACAGAACTACATTCTATAGGTGAATTCCTGAAGTAAAACTCTGTTGTCATACTTTCTTTATTCTGTTGCCTTCCAGATTTTCCTATGGATTCTAGTACTGGACATTGCAGAGAGGCAAGCAGCGGTGAGTTCTTTCCTGTTCCTGGCTTTCATTTGGGGTACAATTAATCTTTGATATAGTCTTAATACTTAAGTCTTATTTGCGGATACTTGTGTCCTGTTTTAAGAGTAAACACAAAAATTATTTCCATATCTATGCTGACTTTATTTTTAGTATTAATATATTAAAATTAAGCTCTTGACTTATAGTATATTATACAAAAATGCTAATGAGTATATAGATTCATGTAACCATAATTCAGGATACAGAATAATTCTATCACCCTCCCATATTCCTTGATGGTATAGTCTTTTCTAATAAAAGTGTCACCTGCTTTTAATAACTAGCTGTTCTCTGGCGCTATAACGTCTTTTGGGGATTGTCAGACAGATGGATTCTCTGGAGGTAACTTCACTTGTAGAGTAGAAAATCTTTCAACATTGTTTTCACTTTGAATAATGCTGGTGAGGCTTACTGAAGTCATTAAATGTAGTAGTAATCCATCCCTTTTGTTGAGGAATGTCTTATTTAGGGTTTTATTGCTGTGAAGAGACATCATGACCACAGCAACTCTTTTAAAGAAAAGCATTTAATTGGAGCTGGCTTATAAAGTTTAGTTCATTACCGTCTTGGTGGGAAGCATGGCAGCATTCAGGCAGACATGGTGCTGGAGGAGAAGCTGGGAGTTCTAGCTCTTAATCCGCAGGAGGAGAATACCACAGTGGGTGTGGCTTGTGCATCGGAGACCTCAAAGCCTGCTCCCAGGGGTGCACTTTCTCCAACACCCCAGCAAAGGCCACGCCTACTCGAGCAAGGCCACACCCACTCAAACAACGCTCACTTCCTAACAGTGTGGCTCCCTATGGGCCTATGCGGACCATTTTTATTCAGACTACCACAAGGAATAACTTATTTAGTCAAATTCACATGTAGCCAGGAGTGAATTCAGCAGTTTGTCATCACTGATGCATGGCCATTTCCCAAGCTCTTTCCTCTCTGTGATGGCCCCAGTACTTTTCTGTTCCTTGGAACACTCCATTTTGATCCTTTATAGAAAGCTAGGACCTTATTTTTCCCACTCTCATGTTCATTTCCTCTGATTGCTCCTGCATCCGGGGCCAAGAAGTGGGTGAATATGAACAAAAAACAGGATCCACTTGATCTTTTAGCACCACTGGTCCCCTAACCAGGGAGGAACAGCCTTGTCCATCATGGGTTTGACACAGCTAATAGAGACAGGAGTAGCTAAAAACTCCCCAATTTTGGAGCCAGATCTACAATGCCCTCTTCCAGGTTGCAGGTTGTACGGAAACAGATTGTCAGATGATAGACAGAGAAGGGTGATGAACTCTGTCCGGTGATGGGCCTGTTTCCTTTCCTAGTCTTCCTGCTGTTCATGGTTAAGCATTCCTAAGTAGCTGCTGCATGCATCTTCCTCAGATTATGGTCAGTGAGAGAGAATGGGTCTAATTATCCCATCTTATCACGCAATAGTAAAGTGCAAAAAAGGTACAAACAAACCAAGTAAGTTAGTGCATTCTGGTGACCACTGTCCTGTGAAGCCGGCACACCAGGACGTTTAACGTTAGCAGTGTTCCAGAAGCCTCCAGATCGCTGCCACTTCTGTTTTTCTTTCAGCATAGCTTCTGTTCAGTGCCCTGCTACCGCAGTTTCATTTTGCCTGGTCTTGAATTCTGAATGGATAAACCCTTCAGCTTATATTCTGTGTGTACCGTAACTTTCTCATCTCTGCTTTATACACACAGTAGTTTTCATTTTCAGCACTAACATTGTCCCTCATGAAACACACAAGGCTAGTGCACCCCAATGTCACTGAATATTTGGGTTGTTCCTGTTTTGTTACTGTGTCTCAACACTGCGTAGTATCTCCATCCTCACTGATCAGTATGTTATATTTCGCAGGGCACCTTGTAAATGGGTGGGAGATACCTGTCAGTTCATGAGTAGGTCTGAAAAACAGATTTCACTTGGTTTTTGTCGTGCACTCATTTTGACGGCTGTGGCTGAGCCTCGGGTGCTGCCACTGTATCCTGATTTCCCAGGGCCTCACATCCACTCCCAGCCCCTCACCCTGACCCTGAGGCAGGAAAAGGTGCTGCAGAGCACCCCCCGCCCCCACCCCCACAGCGGATTGCACGACAAAGGCAGTGGGGATGCGGAAGTCCCGGGGCTTTTCGGAGGTGCTCTCCTGGATGTTTGTTAAGAATGTACTCATTCTGTTGATACAGCGAGGGACATTTTCTGTCACATAAGAGCAGCCAGGCACTGACGGTGTCCGTGCTACTCTGAGGGTCACTCATTCTGTTGTATTTCTGTAAAACCAACTAATAAGCTTGTTCAGTAACACAAAGATTGGCCAGTCAGAATTTCTTGCCAGGCGCATGCGTGCGTGCCTGCGTGCGTGTGTGCGCGCTGCCAATTGGTGTGAAAGTTGTGGTTAGAGCGTCAGTGTGTCAATGAGTAAAGACATCAATAGCACAAATAACATACAAAGGCAAATCCATTAGGAGCAAGGTATGTGGTGCTTGCTTTTATTTCAGCGCGTTGGCAAATCTCTGAGTTCAAGGCCAGCCTGGTCTTCAGAGTGAGTTCCAGGAGAGCCAGGACTACACAGAGAAGCCCTGACTCAGAAACAAAAACAAAAACCCAAGCAATCAAACACCCTTGAACAACAACAACCAACCAACAAAACGGGATCCCCGGAAAGCTACACAGTGTGAGTGCCGCATCCCAGAATCAGTGTTTCTGTTCCCTTCCTTTCCCAGAATGTTTTCATTTTTCTGGTGTAATGTGGGCGAGGAAAACAACAGGGAAGCAAGAGTTCATTGTGTTGGTGGGGTAACACTGACATAGTCCCATGTTTCAAAAGGAGATGCAGTTTGTTCTCAGGGTTTTATTCTTCGGAGAAAGAGGGCAGCTGAAAAGGCTCACGCTAAAACAGGAAATGAGGAAGGCACAAAGCCATTACAACCCCCATCGTGACCCCCTTCCAAAATGTCAAGCTGTTGGTGTCTGGCATTTGGGAGAGACATTCTTTCCCTCCAATTTATTTATTGCCTTAACACTTAACATTTTTTCCTCCTCTTTTTTGGGAGATAATGACTATGAACAACTTCCAGTTTGAGAGTGTATTTTACTGTCGTAATCTGTTGTCATAAAAGAAATAGATGTTCTGTGTTGCATGGCATGGGATGTGGACAGCAATTCAGTTCCATCCCATGAGTCACATCGTCAAATCAACACAGGAAATTTAGAGGAATGTTTAATTCATTCAGTGAGTGGGTATGGTTTTTGTTCATTTGTTTTTTGGTTGTTTGTTTGCTTTGAGGTAGGGTCTGTGTAATCCAGGCTGGCCTCGAACTCCCTGTGCAGCTGAAGAGGAACACAAACTTCTGATCTTCCCGCCTCTACCTCCGAAGCGCTGGGATTCCACTGGCGCCACCACACTTGGTTTTAATCATTGCTGCAGAGGAAGCCAGGCCTTCCTCCACCATAGCAAGCACCCTAACAGCTAAGCTACGGTCCCAGGCCAGTGTGCTGGTCTTTGGAAATAAAACAAAAAATAATCCTAGTTTTGCATGTGTGATGATGAGCATTTACATTAAAAAACATACCCCCCCACCCCCAACAAGGAGGCAGTAGTTGACGAGTTCTGGCCTGACCAGGTGACCTCAGTGGGCCTTTCCCAATATGAACACCAGGTTGCGCTGGCCAGCGCTCTCCTTCTGCGCCTGCTCGGTGACTGCAGAGGCTGAATTCGCTGGGCACAGCCGGGAAGAAGGAACACGGCTAAGCAGTCAGCCTCCCCTTACATATGGGAACTGTCGCTGAAAACCAGTTTCCTTCTTTCACGTTCTCTTCCTTGGACTGTTAGCAAGGCTCTCTCGTTCTTCAGTCCCTCAAGCGCAGGGACTTCCCAAGGATCTCATGCTTGGACCCCTTTTCTCTGTCTCCGTGAGTTTCTTCCTGTTGGAACTCATTGCTCTACAGGGGTTCTTAGTCGCGTCCCTATGGTTCTGCTTACTCTTCCAGGAAGAATAGCATATTTTTATTTCCTATCTATGTATGTATCCTATTTATATTTCAAATATAATTTATTTAACAACAGAATAACCTCTTAATAAAAAAATTGACACCCTGAATCATCTCGCAGCAGGAGTGTCAGACTTGGTTTTAGACCATCCAGCCTTCCGTTCTTCAGAAAGGTAACGGAAACTCATCTCTTCCAGACCACCCTTGAGATAAAGCAGTCCACAGACTGGCATCTCTTCCTTCTTCCTCTGTTCTGCACTCGGTTTTGGGCACACATGACACTGTCATGGCCGGGGAGCTCATGGTGTCCCTTTGTTCTTTGACTTTTAGGACATCAAAAAATAGTTGAAGGGAAAACAAAGTTGCACTGACGCATATTTTAGAGAATTTGAATGACTTTTAGAGCCAAAAACCTTGTGGAAAGCAATTTATTTAAATATTTCTGAAAATCTAATCTTGCAGAAATAAATGGAATTTCTTCTTCTTAGTGATGCAATGTTAGTCCTTGCAATCTTAAGCAATTTCCTTTTCCAGAACACAAATCATTATGAATTGAGTTCTTTATTACTCAAGTCCAGCTTTGTTTTATGTAGCTGAGTGGAGTCCATGTTACTTTTTTTTTTTTTTTTTTTTTTTAAATTTTATCTTATCTAGTTTCACCAGTCGGCTTCATCATAGTTTTTCCTAACTAAAAATAAAACTATATATATATGAATGATGAGGTTGATTTTATATATATGCATATACATACATATATACATACTTTTTTATACGTAGAGTAGAAAGAACAAATGTCAAGTGTGTGCTGCCATTTTGAGTTTTGACAGTGTCTGCTCCCATGCAGCCATCCGTGGGCCTGGGATAAAGAGCATTGCTGTCCCCCGTAGAGACTTCCCATGGTAGGCCAGCAGCGTTCTAATTTTCATTACTGTAGATTAGTGCTATTAGATCTTCAGTTGTGCACGCGGGTC